TGTGTGTGTGTGTGTGTGTGTGTGTGTGTGTGTGTGTGTGTGTGGGGGGGGGCTGACTGACTGCTGCTGTCGTCCCTTCCTGTAGTGTCTCACAACATGGTTCTTTTTCAGTCATCAGTAGGAATTGTTTGAATTAGGAATCAAGAGCTTCATCATGTTTTGATAAAAAATCTATTTTTTTTTCTTTCTTGCTGTTTTTTTAAACACTCAACATTTAGCAATAAACCAACCAACCCATTCAGCCTGGCACCTTTCCCTACAAAGTACAAGGAAATAAAGAAAAATAAAATTCAAAAAGGAAACTAAGAAATAAAACATCTATAAATTATATAAATATTTTATCATTTATAAATAAAATCATAATCAACATAATTATTCAACACCTCTCTTCAACAGGGTGTCCACAGGGCCTTAAAATCTAATTATCTAAATTAAGACCTTAAAAAAAGTCTTAAATTTATTTAAAAAATGTGCAAGTTGGTCTTAAATTAGTGGGGAGGGGCAGGGCTGCAGTAAAATCAGCAGTAATGGAGGACAGACAAACTGATTTCTATCCAGAGGAAGTGGATATTTGAAGTTATTTCTAACATCCTACAGGCTTTGACATGTTACACATTTGAAACTGAGGTTTTGAAAAATCTGTGATTGCTTTATATTTCTGTGTACCTGCAAAATGACAGGAGATCTGTGTAAATGATAGTCTACACAACATGACGTGTGTACATTTCCTGACAGTAGGATGAGATAAAACAAGCTGTGTGTGATGGATTAACTGAGCCAGAGTCACAGTTTAATCCAGGCAGAGCAGAGCAGGTGCTGGTGATGTCGGTGCAGCAGTATCACACTTGTATCTTTATCCAGGTAAGCTGCTCACTGTTTCATGATATATTGATGTTAGGCCACATCGCCCTGCTCTAGATTCCAGATCACTGCAGACATCTTTGTCTAACTTTATTTTTAACTTTCCCTCAAACCTGGGAAGAACAAGTTAACTGTAGCATGTTTTGGCAGTAATAAAGTGTATTTTTCTGTTTGTACTATGGTGAAAAAAGTATTTAGTCAGCCACCAACTGTTCACGTTCTCCCACTTAAAAAGATGAGAGGCCTGTAATTGTATCAGTAATATTTAGAGCTCATCTGTGAGACAAAATGAGGAAAAAAGAATTAAGATCTGTAAGAACCAGAAATCTTGTTTGTTTTTGACCAAATACTTATTTTTCACATAATTTGCAAATAAATTCTTCAAAAATCAGACAATGTGTTTTTCTACATGTTTTCTCATTTTGTCTCCTAGTTGAGCTGTAACTCTGTTACAGACCTCTCATCTGTTGAAGCAGGAGAAGCTGAAGAGTTGGTGTCTGAATAAATAGGTTTCCTCCTGTGTGTACATTTATTACTATAACTGTTGGTTCGTATGAAACAAGTAGCTCTTTATGTTCCTCTGGACCCCTGAAGCAGCTCATTCTTTAAGGTTGGACATGACTCGGGGGCTGACAGAAGTCTTGTTTAGGTTGTCTGAGACAACCTGATATGTTTTGGACAACAGATCCTGCCTCTCAGTTGTCCGGTGCACAGCCATGAACAACCCTGGATTAAAGTTTTCCTCTGTGGGTGTTCATCATGTGGAAATGGAAAGGGAGAAAAGACTTGTTAAAGCTGTCCAGGGATTAAACTGATGGTTCCTTCACCCAGTAGAGACAACCACAGTCAAAGTTTTACCCAATCAGAGCGGGTCGTGTTGTCTGATTGACAGCAGGGGCAAGCAGCTGGGATTCTAGGAGGGGAATGATCCCACCACACACTACCTGTATCAGCTGCATGACGTAACGTCTCTACAGCAGGAGGGGAAACATTAGGATTGATTGTCTGTGTTTTAACAGTCTGCACACCTGCTTCCACCAACATTTAACAACAACATGGACACCACTTTCAGTGGCAGTGAAAATACAGTGCTCCTGTTCTCTCCTCTTCATAGTCCCAGACAGAGGGCAGACACAGCTAAATTAGAGTTAAAGTACATTCAGAGAGGATTTGTTGTTGTGGGCATTCAGTTTTATCACATTATCAGAGTAATGCATGTGTGTGTGATGTCAAGGCATGGCTGCTGACTCAGCCGAACACATGAACGTATCAACTGATACCAGTACAAGAAAAAACTAATGTCAAATATCAGCTAAAAGGATTGGTCTGCCGACGTATCAGTCATGTTTTAGAGCAGGTGCCACTTGTTTCCTTTATTTCATTATTCTTTTTAATAACTTCGATATGGACTCAAATGGGATAGTTTTAGCTCATAGGTCATCTACAACCCCTGTCAAAAAGTATGGATCACCAGTCTTGGATGAGCTCTCATTCAGACATTTCATCCTGTAAAACAAACTCAGATCAAAAACATGATACAATAATAAGGTCATTCCAAAGGTCAACTTGTTGGCTTTCAGGAACACTTAAAGAAATGAAGAGAAAACATTGTGGAAGTCAGTGAATGTTACTTTTATTGACCAAGCACAGGGAAAAATATGGAATCACTCAATTCTGAGGAAAACAGTATGGAATCATGAAAAACAGATAAACTAAAGACCATTCAAAATACATCACTAGTATTTAGTTGCACCACCTTTGTCTTTTCTAACAGCTGCAGTCTCTGAGGCATGGACTTGATGAGTGACAAACAGTATTCTTCATCAGTTTGGTGCCAACTCTCTTTGACAGCAGTTACTGTACCAGATCAGCTTTGCAGGTCGGAGCTTCTTCTGGACCATTTTCTTTTTCAGTTTCCACCACAGGTTTTCAATTGGGTTGAGATCTGGACTATTTGCAGGCCATGACATGGACTGAATGTGTCTTTCTCCAAGGAATGCCTTCACTGTTTTTGTCCTATGGTACGATGCATTGTCATGTTGGAAAATTGATCCTCCATATATGGCATATCTGGAGTTATAAATACTTCAATCTGGGATCATTCACTTATTTATGTCATTAGAAAAAACCTTAAGAAACCTACAGGTCATGTGCATAATTTCATTAAAAGGATTCAGAAATCAAAGTTACCCATGTTTCATGCTGAGATTGAGAAAACTAACTGGAATGAGGGGATTTCTCTGGCAAATCCAAATCGCATTTTGTCAAATTTTATGATAAGATAAGATAAGTGGTCATTCAACTAGATCTGTTACAAAAGGACAACTGATATTACCAACTTTTAAAAACTGTTACGGCCAGAGGTCTTTCTTCTATGTTTATACT